AACTCATATTTAAAAAATAAAGCTTGCGAAAATGGTTTATTGAAACTTGTCATTACCTCCCGGACTAGTGGGTTTGCGTGTCAGGGCAATTGTGGCATCTTCCTTTAGTTGTAAACTGGGGAAAATGTCCAACTATATCGAAACGTATTTCATTTTCAGGTCGGGGCTTGAAGATGGTTTTCAGTTTCTTTGTAGGTGTACTTTTTTATCCACTTTTAGGCTTCCTTCCTTTTTTGCCTTTTAAAATAAGGAGCTCAGCAATAGAAATACAAAATTCCTTTGGTTTTTTTTTCGGATGCAATACCTTCATGTGTCTTTTATACAGAAGCCAACTATTATTTACAGAAATGTCTAGCATTTGAGAGAAAATAGACATGTACCATCTATGTGTTTTTAAAGAAGTTCGATTATGATGGAGATGTTCAAGATGGCAATGTGTATTAAAAGAGACATTTCGTTTACTTGGCAGTGTGAATTTAAATACACTTGTTTTTTAGAAGACAATTACATTTTTTTACAAATTCTACAGATAAAATACACATGCACAACCATCAACCAATGTCTATTCTAATGATTTTTAGTGATTTATTTGAAATTGGTGCATATAAAAGTATTAGAAATCAGAAATTGCTTACCTGATGCACGAACATTTCACTCAAACTGAAACTATTCCACAACTAACTTCACAATTTTGACAGTTTGCGAAGGCGCGAAATTTAAAAATGGCGGTTAGAAAGCATAAATTACTAGAAAAGATGTGTATCTAAGTACACAGTGCTTCATATATACAATTTTCCCATGCAACATAGATAAAAGAAATTTTGAAATACCTGTGTACTAAGATACTTATCTTCAAGTTAAGGGATATAATATGTTCTTGTGAATTTCATATTAATTAAAGATTCATCATACAGTTCATCATTATCAAGCATACGTTTATGAAAAATGTGCTTGCATGGCAATTTCATGTTGATTTGAAAATAGCAGTTACTGTTGTTAATGTCTTTTAAATATTTGGTTTTTTTATATTCTTCATAACAAAAATAGCTGCATATGGAGTCAATAAATTTAGGTACTTGTCTTCAGGAGACAACTTGGAATATTGATGAACGGGTATCTTACTTGCTATATTACATGCCTTTATTCTGCGGTCATCATGAAGAGTTTTAAACAAAATAAATGTCTTTATAAAATATTACAAGGTTGCTATTTTTTTACAGACACTTTTTTTTTTTTTTTTTTATTTAAATTAATGTGTCTCGACAGCTAATGGCCATTGACACAGATACAAAGTATTAGTTAAAATTAGTAAATTACAATATTAGTATTAGATATGATTGTACAGTTTACAGGTTTTGAGGAAATTTATCACTTCACTGAACTTATTGGTAGAACTTAAGATGCTCTGCAGAGTTCCTTTCAGATTATGCTGACGTCGGGCGGTACTATAGTGGTTGCATTCCATGAGAACATGTTCTATCGTGAGGCGGGTGCTGTTGCAGTGTTCACACACAGGGGGATTCTCGGAGGCCATGAGAAAGCCATGTGAGAGACGTGAATGGCCTATTCTAAGTCGTCTTATTATGGTTTTGTCTTTTCTGGACATAGAAGGCATCATGGGTGTGGTAATATTGGGTTGAACTTTATGTAGTTTTGTATTGAGGGTGCTCCAATGATTTTGCCAGGTACTTTGAGAAATAATATAATATAATAAAATAATATAAGATCGTACGTCTTGGAAAAGCTGAATGTTTTCTGGCGTTGTTTCTAAGAGGCAGGCTTTTTTTGCGGCTTGATCTGCGTGTTCATTACCTACTATGCCCTGATGGGATGGAATCCAGAGGATGGTAACTGTAGTTCCTTTTGAAGAGAGTTGGTGACATGTATCTTGAATTTCCTGGACTATCGGATTTTGTGAATAAGTGTTTCTTATGGATTGGATGGATGAAAGAGAATCGGTGCAGATGGCAAAAGATTTGGTGTTTTGTATTGGAGTCTTCAATGCTTTTGAAATGGCATACAATTCAGCTGTGTGTATACTACAGATATTAGGTAGCCTGTATGATGCTATTATTGTATTCGTTGAGGTGACAGCACTCCCAACACCGTGTTCATCTTTGGAAGCGTCCGTGAATAGAGTTTTGTCAAATTTAGTAGTATTTATCAATTCATTGAATAGTTGTTTGAAGAGTGACTTAGGGGTTTCTGTTTTGATGTGACATGATAAACTAGTATTAAAGTTGGGAGGATTTTTAATCCATGGGGGAATACTAGAAATGTTGATTGGCAATGTATCTGTAAGATTGATGTTTCTTAACAGGGTTTGTAAAGAGGAGATTGTTGTTCCAGGTCGGTTTAATGGAGCTGATTGTGTGTTTTTGAGTAGATTAAAGACTGGGTTGTTCGGATTTGCGACAACTCTAGCAAAATATGATTGTGATAATCGTTGTCTTCTTATAAAAAGAGGGGGTTCGGAAGATTCTATTTGAAGGCTGTCGGAAGGACTGGATCTAAAGGCTCCAAGACAAATTCTTAGTGCTGTATTTTGCACTGTGTTGAGGGATTTTAAGTATGATGGGCTTGCGGACATATATAGTATGCTACCATAATCTAATTTGGAGCGGATTAATGCTCTATAAACTCTTAGTAAGATATTCTCTTCAGCCCCCCATTGATGATGTGCTAGATATTTGATTAAGTTCATTCTTTTTAAGCAGTCTCCTTTTGTGTGCTCTATCTGCTGTCTCCATGTAAGCTTTTTATCGAAAGTTATTCCTAAGAATTTATGGTGGTCGACTACTTCTAGTGGAACTCCATTTAGGTTTATGTTTGGTCTTTGGGGGTTATGTCTCCTGCTAAATTGAATAACTTTGGATTTGTTTGGTGAAAAGTTGAGGCATAATCGTTTTGACCAGTTATGAATACTATTTATGGCATTCTGAAGTAGCGAGCATGTGGTAGTGGTGATTTTACCTTGGCAATAGATAATTAGGTCATCTGCATAGATTGCGTGTTTCACTGGAGGAAGTAAACTGGAACATATGTCGTTAATGCTAAGTAGAAATAAAGTAGGACTCAAAACGGATCCTTGTGGGACTCCGTTTTCTGAAAGCTGGGTAGTAGATGTTTTTCCATTTGTAGATACTGCAAAGGTCCTGTTATTTAGAAAATTTTGTATGAATGCGAAAATATTTCCGGATAGCCTTAATTCTTTAAGTTTTTCGAGGATAGCATATCTCCATGTAGTGTCAAAAGCGCTTTGGATATCTAGTGACACTGCGATGACTTCATTCTTCTTGGCCATGGCGTCGGCAATTTCTGCTTGAAGGATAACGAGATTATCCATAGTGTTTCTGTTTGGTCTAAAACCTGATTGTGTATTGTCTAGAAGTTTGTGGCTTTCAAGATACCAAAGTAGTCGGTTATTAATCATTTTCTCGAGTAATTTGCATAATGTGCATGTCAAAGCAATAGGTCTAAAAGAACTGGGACTGGTCGAAGAAAGGTCGCTTTTTTTTATGGGAATAGTAATTGAATGCCGCCATAGTGTTGGAAACTGTTGGGTGTTCCAGATTTTGTTATAACGTTCAAGAAGTTTGGATAGTGTTTTTGGAAGAAGATGTTTTAAAAAAATTGACGGGATATTGTCTGGACCACCAGCTGAAATTTTTTGAGAAGAAAGGGCAACGTTTAGTTCATACTGACTAAAAGGAAGATTAATTGGATCTGATTCGAGAGGAACAGGGTGGGGTAGGTGTAGTTCATTTGGTAGGTTAGGTGGGATGTTTTTGTTTATGGTTTTGCCTTGGAAATGTTGCGCAAGTATATTAGCGATTTGTTGGTCATCTGTAATGGTTTTCTGCTCATAGATAAGTGCAGGTATTTTGTAGGTAGTATTTTTTCCTTTCATTTGTTTTATCTTTGTCCAAACTTGTGTTGGAGGGGTATCAGAAGTTATTGTACTAGTAAAATGCCTCCAAGAGTCTCTTTTGCTGTCTTTTAATACTCGTTTAGATTTTGCTCTTAGTCGTTTAAAGTTGATTAGATCATGTGCTTCTCTAGTTTTCCTATATTTGTTTTGAGCTTTTTTACATTCTTTTACTGCAACTTTGCACGAGTCGTTCCACCAGGGGACGGCTTTTTTGTAGGATCAATGGAGTATTGGCCTATATGTAATTTAGCAGAAGTGATGATACAATCTGTGAATTGACTGACAGTATCGTCAATATTGTTCTGGAAGTTTATTTGGTCACTTAGTTCTTTAACTGATAAACTAAATGAGTCCCAGTTAGCTTTAGAAATGGCCCATTTAGTTTTGACAGTTGTAGCTTTCGGTTCTCTATCAGAGATGAGAATGGGATAGTGATTACTGTCGTACAGGCAGTCCAAGGTGTGCCATGTAAGTAGGGCGCCTGTTCCAGGATCACAGAGGCTTAGATCTATTGAGGAGAAAGTACCTGTTTGTATGTAGAAGTACGTACTACTGCCTGTGTTTAAAATGTTTGTATTACAAATATTTAATGTATTTTCGATAACTTTACCTCGTCCAAATGTTTGCTGGGAACCCCACAGTATGTTGTGAGCATTGAAATCTCCAACCAATATAAAAGGAACGGGTAGTTGAGTTATAAGACCTATTAACTCAGTGCTAGTTAAGTTATAATTTGGGGGTATGTAAGTGCTACAAATTGTTATTTTGTTTGGACACCATGCGGTTATGGCGACTGCTTCTAAGTTAGTGTTTAGGTGAAATTCTTGGTGGAAGATATCAGTAGAGACAAAGATGGATGTCCCACCACTGGCTCGTAAGTGTGTAGTTCTGATGAAATTATAGTTGACATAGTTTTTTAGATATGGGTTGTGTGAGTTAATAAAATTTGTCTCTTGTAAACAGAGAAAAGTGGGGGAAGTATCAGAGATTAGTTGTTGAAGACGTTCTAACCGGGGATAAAATCCGTCGCAGTTCCACTGGATTAGTTTAAAGGGCATTTTGTTTTGAGTTAATAAGAGGATTTTTGAGAATTAAGGGAAATTGATCCCTCAGAGTTGTAGTCTTCGTCAGATGGGTCGTCTAAACTTGGTAAGCTATCTGTTTCTTCGGAGTCAGGGTTTAGGTGTCTTTTGATCTTTTTTGCTAGTCGAGTTATTCTGTTCTTGGTTGATCTTTCTTTGAGAGCTGGATATATTAAGTTTAGGTTTTCTACTAAAGATTTGACGTCACTTGTGAATTTGAGTGCTTCTGTATAGGGCTCTGGGTTACCATGAGTGTTTTCCAGAAATGCGAAAAGGTTTTCAATGGTAAGAGCAAAGGCCTCAGGAGTTTCTTGATAGACATCTTCGATAGATTTCTTTGTAGCTTCTGTCAGAATGCTTTCTGTAGATACTGTTCTTTTGCGCTTCATCTTTTTTGTTTTGATACTGGATGAGGTTGGAGGGGTTTTGGGAGGAGGCATTTCTTGTAAAGGTGTTGGGGTTAGGAATGGATCTTCGTTGAGGAGGTTTGTTTGGTCATTTGGAGTTTCTGTGAGAGTTTGGGATGAGTGAGGTAGATTTTGATGTGGTAGAGTTTCTGGGATGGGGCTTGTGGATGTTTCTATAGGAGGTTGCTGACTAGGTGGTGAGCTAATAGGAGGTTGTTGACTAGGTGGAGAACTAATCGGAGGTTGTTGACTAGGAGGTAAGCTAACAGAAGGTTGTGTGGTTGTTTGGGAGAGGGTGTCTGTGATTATATGTGCTGGTAAGTTATTTGTTGGTGGGTTAGGGCAGTTTGAAGCTATGTGGCCAGTCTGTTTGCAAATAAAGCATTCCATTTTATCCGTAGAAAGGAAAATTCTATTTTCTTGGCCATCGAAGGAGATGACGAGGGAAGTGTGAAGTTCAAAATTTTCTAGAGGAGAAAAGACATATACTTGACGCCTGAAGCTCATAATATGAGAATATTCGTCGCCAGGGATACCGGCTCTTAAGAAAGAAATGGGAGAGGCCATTTGGAGTCCAAGGCTTTTTATGGCAGTTTCTGCGATATCGTGAGGAACAAAGGGAGATATATTAGAAATTATTATTCTCTTGGTTGGGGCGACGAGTCTACGAATATTTAGGATAGTGTTCTCAATCGTTATTGTTTGGTGTGATCGTAATAGTTTTTCAACAAGGTCGGTACTTGCAAGATAAATACATATTCTATTGTTAGAGATTCTTGATGCAAAAGTTATTTGTTTGGAGCCAACGATATCACCTATTGCTTTGACATAATCGAATAGTTTAATATTATCATCTGCGTGCATAACAATTGCTTGATCCTTCTTGGGAAATATTGGTTTGGGAGCTGATTTCACTGCTGATACATACGATGACGATGAATTTTTATTTTCTATGTTTTGTGACATCTTGAAGTTTATACAGTTTGGTGGGTTGTTTACTGTAAGTTAAGTTGTTGCTCTTGTAGTCAAAAGCAACGTGACTTTAAATAATTTTGTTGCTGCGAAAACGATTTTAAACCGGCACACAGCATATACATGTCGAAAGTGTGGTTGCCCTACACCTGCTTCAAGCGAGGTGCAGGCGGATGACTGGTTTTTGTCGGATTCTTTATCAACAAATTTGTGTGTTTGTAAATTCTGGTATCATTAATATTTTAGAAATAGTATATTGATATAAATCAATGAAACTGTAAAAAGCGAAGTAAAGAAATGTTCAATACATACAATTAGTCTTTGTGGCGTACACACATAAACTTATAACTTGAAATCACTATTTATTTACGAAAAATTGTTTATTTTACGGAGCAGAACACAGATGATGTTAACTCGTTCAAGCACTCGCTCGGAATCGCATCTACAATTTTTTTTTTTTTTTTTTTTTTTTTTTAATTTGCTGATTCGATGTGGTTTGTGGTTGTAATATTAAATGTAAGAGAATTTTTAATAAATCCTTGTACCCATTAATATCTATTTGCAAGGCAATTTTCGTTAAAATATTGGGTTAAATTTTCATAATTTAATTTAACTAATTTGTTGTAATTAAAAAAATGGCATTGGAAAATTCAGTCTTCTGCTTTGTTTAAAATTTTTGTCTGTAATAATTGTGATAATGTCATACCAACATTTTTTATTTTACTTCTTAAATATCCTTATTATTTCAATAATATTCTGAGAAAATTTATTTGCAAGCAAAAAATGGCAGCTATTTCGCTCTGGCTATTTCCATTAATAACGAGAAAAATATGTAATGGCATTCTGAGATTATTAAGTGTTTATTTCGAAGGATCAACAAGGATTAGTATAAGGAACGAGGTGGGGGCCATAAAAATAAAAAAAAGAGGAAATAACTTATCTGATGCTTAGTGGTATAGTAAATATTGTCACGAATTGCATTTAAAAATAATTAGATTTTTATTAAAGATAAAATAAAGTACTTTCCTTGAGCTGTTGGTTTCAGTTTCACTGTCTGAACTCATGTAATTATCTTCCTCACTACCCTCTTCACCCAAGTCTGGGAATATGAGATTTAAGAGTCCCTCCATGACTACCTTGTACAAAATATCCAAATTCATCTTGAATTTGTCTAGCCCGTCTATAGAGACTATATCTATGCCGAACTCTTGAGCTACAGACAATAATGTACTCCTCATAGCTCTCATCTTGCTTGAGTCTAAAGCCAATATTTTCCTGTAAGCATATACTATAGTCTTCTTGGTTCTATCATAGTCCAGATCCTCTATATCTAGGTATCCTTCTCTCAGAGATTCGATCTTCCCCATGGTTAAATCTTCTTCCGGATCCTTCTTGCGGATTCTGGAATTCCTAGATTCCGCAACCGGTTTAGACATACCAAGAATCAAATAACAATTGTCTAGTGCACATCTCTGTCTATAGAGGAAAAGCGGTTCTCCAGGATTTCTTGTTGGTAGCCCAGAGATTTCTTTCTCTACTTCTTTGGGAAGTACATCTTGTACTTTCTTATAATCATGCAGCTTTTTGACTTTTTTACTCCCATCAAATGCTGTTTTTTTGTCAGGAACTATATTCGGAGTCAAGATAGATGATGGTTGTTTTACCCACTGGGACTTTTTTATCCCTTCAAGAGAAGTCTTCATTTCTTCTATCTGTATCTTCATGTTAGAGATCATATTTGACATGCCCCCGAGGTCCAGTGCTTCCTCATCTTTTGTCTCTGTGAGATGATGCACTATATCATTTAGAAGGTTATTGTTCTCATTCATCTCGTGTTTCATAACCAGAAATGATGTATTCTGAGACAATATAGTTTCCTGTAAGATGCCTTGATTACTGGTTATCTTTTCCAGTACATTTAACGTCCAGACATGATAGGATCCGATCTGGCTATTAATCAGGTCTAATACTGCGGCCTCATTGAATAGTGTGGGATTCTCTTTATCTTCTCTGATATTTTGAACTTTATCCTCTATATCTCTTAGAAGAGACTTATCTTTATTGTCAAGTCCAGCAACTTTCTTCTTAAATATAGGAGGCTCCATAGAGTATACAGGTGTTTTTGATTGTTGTTGGTACTCTGTAGCATCAGGATTTAAGGTAGAATGTATAACTGGTAAAATGGGCCCAGTAGGGAGAGTCATATCTAAGAAGTATTTGTCCTTCTTGGCTCTATTAGTTTTTTTGTCTTTTCTTGATGAGGCTCCCTTATCTTCCTTCAATACTTCCGTCATAGAAGATTTCAAATTGTCGTTAGCATTCTCCGACTGACTGTGAATGGGTTTGCTATTCTTTGGTATAGCTCCCTGTCCCACTTCGCCCCTGATATGATCAACAGGTCTTTTATCAGTTCTGCTGACATGATCTGATCTCTCTTTGGGGTCGTATTTGGAAGTTTTGATGGTTTCTTGGGATGTCAATTTTTCGTTCATCTTCTTAGTCATCATTTCTGCTAATCCTCCTACTGCATCATAACCATATCTTCTCTCCCAAGAGTCATCCTTGTCATTTTTGGGTTTACTTCCTTTGGTCGATTTGGATGTTCTCTGACTTTCTTCTTGTGAGAGCAATTGAGAGTATCTCTCTTCTCTTCTGTTTGATTTTCTACCCATGACTCTTTCCTTTAAGGACTTCTGTAAGATCCTTTCCTGCACTATAGGTTTCTGTTCTGCTGATAAGTCAACTTCCTCCTCGATATCAGATAAGTCTATAAACTCACTTAGTATTTCTCCCTCTCTTTCCTCGGATAGACTAGACAACAAACTGATGCTTTTCTCAAATATTTGTTGATTGATAGGGATCAACTTAGCACTGTCAATAAGTTGTCTCTCTATGGATGCTCCCCCCACTCTAGATGAGCTTACTAGGAGATATCTCTTCTCTGCTATATCTGTAGGTATTTTAGGGTCTTCTTCAAAGCTCTTCTTGATTTTAAACTGTCGGTTTCTATATTGAGAATAAGAATTCTTGCCTAATACTCTTGAGCGTTTATAATGAAAGTCCATCTAAATCTCCACATATAAATTGAGGATAAATCTTCTAGATATTGTGGCAAACCTATGTCGTGAGACCTTATTTGTCTCTGTCATTTATTTATAACAATCATTTTACAAAAATAACAATAAGCATCACACATGTGTCTCTACTCGTACACTTCATTTTATAACTCATTAAACATTATACATATTTTCATTTTTCTCTCTATAAACCTATTATCTGTGTATTCAATTTTTCTCACACATTTTACTTTTCAGGGTGAGATAGGTTATCAACTGTTTCATTCAGCCTTCTTCCTAACCCCTCTCCCCACTATCGTGCTTATTTTCACGACAACCATATGTCGCAGGCCCTTATTTCTCTCTATGTCATATTTATTCATAACAATCATTTCTCAAAAAATAATAAATAAGCATCACACGTGTGTCTCTACTCGTACACTTTGTTTTATATATATAACTCATTACACATCCTATCTTCTCATTTACTCTCTATAAACATATTCTCTGTGTATTTACTTTTTCTCACACAGTTTACTCTTATTTAATTATAATACCTACAATGCTTTACTTCAACATATTTATAACTTTTACTACTGAGTTTATCATACTTCCATTTATTCACATTCTCACAACACACAAACTACTATTTACTTGCCTTTTTTTTTTTCATTTTTCTACCGCTGTAAGAAGACAGGATATACTATGTCCTGTGGCTAATTTTTGCAGATTCCTATTATCTACATTTAATATGAGACGTCTAGTTTGAATTCCTGGGGGGGTCACTGTGGTCTTCTATGGGAGGAACTTCTGTATTTTCTAGTGAGGATGACTGCTGTGTCCTTCTGGCTGAGATCTAGTTTTGTAATACTTGTATTATTAAATATCTAATAAAACCAATAAACGCTAAACAGAAAAAGAAACATTTAATTAATGTGGGGATTGTAGCTCTATGTGCTATTTGCTCTAGTAGTACTCCAGAAGGCGCCATCAGTTATCTCTATTTTAAAATTTGGAGTTTCTTCAAGAAACACTATTATCCTGCACAAAAAAAAGTGTTAGTATATGATTATAAAAAAGAAAAATTAAAACTAAATCATTATATACATATGTACGGATGTACGTTTATACTTTAACTACAACCCTTTCCGTATTTCTATTTCTATATAGTATGGACCGAACCATCGTAGAAGTTTCTCACTTCTTCCCAATCTACGGTACGGAGACATACGTTCCTGTTGTTAGGTTGTATCTTGATATCAGAGGTACCGGGATCGTTGCCCGGCACCTCCACCATGTCACGTTAAGTGGTTTGTTGGGAAAACCAATTAATCGTGGGGTACGCCACTGCGTATTTCGGATCGCTCAAACGATCTTCCAGTTGAGGAAGATCTTTGCGCCACCCGAAAATACTCACTGGAGAACCTTTCTTATGATTTTTTATGCAGTGACTTTTATTCCTTCCCAAGTAGCGTAAAGCCAAGCCAAGCGTAATAAATCATAAGAAAGGTTCTCCAGTGAGTATTTTCGGGTGGCGCAAAGATCTTCCTCAACTGGAAGAACGTTTGGGCGATCCGAAATACGCAGTGGCGTACCCCACGATTAATTGGTTTTCCCAACAAACCACTTAACGTGACAATATCTACATTTTAGCGTTACATTGCATTGCTATATCATTTAAATAGACAACTGTATTATTAAAATTTTCTAATAACGATTTCTGTTACTGTTATTAAAAATACTGTACTAGTAAGCAAAGTGGCGGATTTCCCCTGGTTCTGGGATATTTTCGCCATAGCATGGGGGTAATATCGCCATAATATGTAATAAATTTAAAAAAATTGCTAATTAAGAAAATTTGATATTTAAAAAAATTATACAAATGAGCAAAAAGAGTTGTTTATTGAAATATTAAAATACAGAAGGTAAGTATGTTGAATTTATACTAATAACTAACAACAAATATCGCAAATATATTTTTTAGCAGTGTCATAACCACTACACTCTGAATAAGCCCACTTTAAGCATCGAACACATCGATACCAAAGTTCACTTGCACCGAATTCCCCACAAATATTGCGCAGTTGAGTATCAGCAGCAAACGAATCAATTGCATCGTCACCTTTATTATCATCACCCAGGATATTTTCGTCAATTTCTTCGGAAGAAGAAGAATCAAAATGAATTTGCCGTTTGCAACCCTTGTTAAACTGTTTTATTAACAGTGGTTGCTTTCCTTTTATCGACACTCGCACTTTTTCTTTCTGTATTATTTTTGTATCTTTCTTCTTATTTTCTTCATCTATCTTTTGGTTGTTTCTTTTTTTATTTTGCTCTCTTTTTACTGTGACTTCCTCAAGAATTTGCTTCATGGGAGTAGCTGTCATGATAATCGAGTGTTGTTTGCGAAAATTATTCTTGTTAGTTTGTTTTCCTGTTTCTCCTAGTAAAATAAGAGTACCGTACCAGTAAAAGTCCTTGTAAGTCTGTTCACTGTGGCGCTATTTGTTACATTTCATCGGCTTCAAAGTCCTTTATTTGCAGTATGGTTGCTATCTGATGCGAACTCTCGAGCTGGTTAAAGTTTCACGATATTTGGCTCATACGCATATTTTCGTACGACGCTTGGTCCGCTCATCCATCTATCAGGACATCCTAGATTTGCAAAGACGGGATCTAGGACTGTTTTTCGAATGACAATTTTTCGAACAACAGTTTTTCGAAGGACAGTTTTTCGAATGGACAGTTATTCGAACGGATGGTTCTTCGAACGGCCAGTTTTTCGAAGAGCCCATTGTTCGAACAGCCCATTTTTCGAAAATACATTATTGAGGAATGATAAAGTGTAGGTAATTTAAACAAAAAACATTCGGTGTCGCACCTGAAATTCAATTTAGATAATTTATTTTTTTTTATTTAATTTTTTGATAACCTGACACAGGTGCGACACCAAAACGTCAAAAATAAAAAGCTTTTTGTATAAAAATAATGATTTTATTCCAATTAATTCTTTTTAATACTTTCTTATTTATAATACACTATATAACAAAAGAAACGAGGAACTTATTTATGAGACAAATTACAAGCTATACGATTTAAGTATTCTATAGGGTCTTTAGGAGAAAACTGAGTGATAATATTTTGTAATCTAATATTTAATTGTAAGTACTTCGTTTTCTTCGGCACAGCGGGAGTTCCACAGTAAAATTGAGAAATTCTCATTTCAGTTAAGGATTGTTCGCGTTGAATCGCGGTAATAAACTTCCATATTGTGGGATGGCTAGCCGAAAGTTGGCTTTCGAAGGCAAGATGCTAACCTTCAATGTGGTTGTTAGTCTTAGGTTGACTGTTTAAAATATTATTAACACAGTTCCACATTTCCCAATCAAACAACGGTGACCTTCGACGACCGCGACGAATCATCCCAATCCAGGTTTCCTCAAAGTAGTCCAGAACCTCGGTAGCTTCTTCTGGAAAATCATCGCTTAATGCATTAAAAAATGGCTGTATGTATTTTGTAGGTACGAAAGCTAATGCAGCTAAAATCTTCATGTGCTGTGCAAAGTTTTTGTCGGTGTCATATCGCTGTTTAAAGCCAGCTGTTTGAATTTTTCTGTAAATTGCCTGTGAAAAGTGGAAGAAATATCCTTGTACAGTTGCGTTCGGAAATTCTTGATGTATCGCTCCTATCATCGCTGCTTCAAAATCTATTAGAATCGATTGCGGTCTGAGAGCTGGTGCTAGATCTTTAAGGGCCGAAATTAACTTTATGTAAGTGTCTTTTGATTTATCAGGTAGAAGTGCATATACCAGTGGTACGGATTCCTCGTTTATAAATGTATGTATGGTGTAGAGCTGGTAAAAAAGCATAGGTGCAGTCTTAAAAGTTCCATACATGTATATGTATTCAGCTTTTTGTAGATAATCCAGGTTGTCTTTCGTGCTGAAAATCTGAATTCTTTGTTTAATGTTTACAGAATTGAAAAGTAGAAATGGTTCGCCTTTTGTGGTGGTTTTAAAAGAATCAGGTAGATACAACTCTAGACTTTTTGGCTGTGTGGGTTCCATGTTTTCTTTCACTCTTTCCCTGCGTATTGTTCGCTTTAAACTATTTACTTTACTTAGTTTGGCTGCTGTTAGTTTGTCCACTTCACTTGATAGTGCCGACACTAGGTAGTGTGGAGTGTTTCTTGTTGTCCGAGCATTGTCCTTCAGTTTATTCTTAAAACGTATGGCATCTACTTCTGCTGCATCCGCGGGGTGGTTGTGAGAAGTCTCTTTGCAAACATCATCATGGCTTGTAATTGCTCGCGATTTACATTTCTTAGACAAAAAGAACTCGCACTTCCAATATGTTTTTTCATCAACGGCTTTGTCTTTAACGAATAAAAATCCGTTCAAAAATAACTTTTTTTTCCTTTTTCACTAAAAAGGAATTCGAGAGGCATCTTTATAAACACTAAAATCAGACTGAATACAATCTCAAAATGTTTTCATCTTTTATACCATTTAATGTAAGAGTTTAAAATGGTCGGAATAATAATTACCTGCTTATTTATTAGAGGGATGGCATTTAATCTGAACCATAAAACCCTTATTTAAAAGATTACAATTTCTCAAGACTAAATTTATTATGTATTATAATACTAATTAAAATTAAATTACATAAAATAAATCCTTACTTAGAAGATTACCTGTTCTCAAAATTCAATGGGATTATAATACTAATTAAAATTAAATTACATAAAATAAAACCTTACTTAGAAGATTACCTGTTCTCAAAATTCAATGAGATTATAATACTAATTAAAATTAAATTATATAAAATAATACCAACTTATTTCGAAAAATTGTCTATTCGAAGAATCGTACATTCGAAAAATTATCAGTTCGAAGAATTGTCTTTTCGAATAACTGTCCATTCGAATAAATGTCGTTCGAAGAACAGTCGTTCGAATAATTATCATTCGAAAAACTGTCCGGATCCCGCAAAGACGTAAGGGTTATTATTTGAAACAATGTCAGTCTCATCTCATACCTTCAGAATCAGAATAATATATTTCTGCATAAGCTTAGTAAAAAGAATAGGCACTGGTTTACTTCCTTTTCCAAAAACTATGACCCTTTTAAAAGCAGAACTCATTGCTTTTTTGAAATTGGTGAGTGATTCCATAATTTCGTTTTGATTAATGGTAAATGCATTTGATTTGTACGATTTAATATCAAGAAATTGGAACTTTCCAATACCTTTTCTATTAAACGTCAATACCAAAACTAATACACAGCTATAGAGAGTGGGTCACCATGTGCCTTGAGGCCCCTAACCCCTGCTAACGTTAGCACCTTTATCGTGCTAGCCCAATGGCCAATAGTGTGGGCCATTGTCTCCGCAGACTTATTCACACCATCCCGAAAGAGTTTAACAAGTACCTTCTTGCCTCTGTATGAGGCATACCCCTGTGCCTCTCCCTGTCCAGTGTGATGATTCATCGCCCAAAAATTTGCCTTGGTGGCTACAATCAGGATCACTGCATCCCTCATAATTGCCGGTGGAAGCACCGCCTGGGCTCCGTTCTTGACTGCATCGGATGGGACAGGTATGTTACCACCCTCCTTAGGCTCCCAGTCGCCGTCGACTGATGTCCCTACTCTCACACACAGGCCGCACTTTATGCAGGCAACTGCACCATTCACGTAAAGGGCCCTCACCACATCCGACTCGTCGGAGAACCTTTCATACGCCCAAATTGCTGCAGCAGAGCAGGCAGCATTTAATCCTGAGGATATGTGCACAGGAAGTTTCAAGTCGTATGTAAACCCTGCGTCTGTTCCAACAGCTAAGCCAGCTTCCAGAGCTACATTCAAGTTTGGGAGTGTTATTGTCGCCATGCCTTAGCACAGGATATGTCCAGGACAGAATACTAAACAGAAATAGAAATGAAGACAAACAAAGATAACCTAATCTGATTTATGCCAGACGTGGACTGATTTTAAATTTTTAAAAGTTTTTATGATGAGTGGAACGGAAGGATCAGGATAGGTTTTGAAGTAACTAAAGGCCACCGTTTTCATTAGTTAAGTAGTACAATCGCGTATTCGAAAGTCTTGAAGGATTGCGTTGGTTATGTAACACCTTAATTTATTTACAACTTCGACTAAGCCAAAAATGTAAGAGGTTTGTAAATCATGAGTTTCAAGTCCATAAAAGTTTTCGAGTAGGGTTTTTTGTCTTTCAGCATTTATTTTCACGTGACACTGATTAGAACAGGGGCACACTATTTCTTCAAACAACTTAGGCGGTACTACCCTACCTTTGAAATTCCTATATTCTTCACGTTTTATTCGCTTCGCTTTCATAATATTTCTCGGCCACATTTGCTCATTCCTGGTGCGTTTTCTTGTTTTCACTGTTGCATTTATAGTAGCCTCGTCCCTTTCGCTTTCACTTTCTGAGCCACTTGGATTACTCGGCACATATTTGGAGCCAGAATCGCCAAATGGGTCGTCCTCATACGGGTCTGAAAGTGAAAAAACAACCTCAAAAAATTCGTTATATTTTATATGCAGAAATAGTACTAAATGACTAAAATTCTTACCGTTAACGTGCGGTGAAGTACTCATTTTCTTCTCTCTTTTAACTCACACACAGTTATTGCTTTCAGTTCAGTTCTTTCTCTCACAACACAACAAAACTTTTAAAGCTTCGTAATGTCAATACAAGAAACTGATTGCGCAAGAACAGCCTAACCCACAGAACTGTGGATTAGGCCGATTATGCGCTTCTTAAATTGACAAAATTATCGAAAACAAAAGTAAAATACTAGCGCCATCTTTTGAACAATAGCAGAAGGTGGCATAGGCTGTTTTGCATTGTATACGTATATGCGTAGGGAACGAGTTAGGCCGAATATCACAAAATCGTAAATTTGTTGGTTAGGCCGTTTTGGCACTGATAGCCTCAATTGTGTTATTGTAAAATGGACATACGCCAGTTTCGATGCGCAGTAACTTGTTGACAAAATGCGCATATGCTATAAACCCTCCTGTTCCTACCTTTCTTTATTTAATATCGTTTCGTTTCATATGACCATTTAGGTACTGCCATCTTTCCCCAAAATTAATTTTTCAGAAGCTTTCACCGGTTTCTTGTCTTCGTTCAATCTTGAAATATTCGAACCATTTTCTTTGGCAGTTACATACTGGAAGTCATTTATATTTAATTAAATTTCTTTCAGTTTTTTCTTCTTTTGTTCTCGCCCGTTTACTTTTCTAATTTAGATCAGTTTTTCATTTTCAATATTATTTCTTTCATTTCTACAATCAGTTGGATCAACTTCGTTATTAACTCTTATGTCGTCAACATCGCTATCTGTACCTAAAAAGAAAATTATTATTATTATATTATAACTCGTTACAAATATAAGTGACATTACAGACATTAAATAATAAAACGTGTAGGTACATATTTTACCTGAACTGAGTAGAAGTGGGTTCAAGAAATGTTTTTTTTTTTTCATTTTCCAGCTCTTCCGTTGTTTTCTGGGTCAATATCTGAGTCATCAAAAGGACTGTCAATTCGACGTTCTTCTAAAAAAATAGTAAAAGTAGCTGATAAAATTTAAGGGTTAAGTGGCGAAAATTATAAATAATAGTTTTGTTAAATAGGTACTGTTATAATATTTTTATTTATATTATATATTATAACGATATATGTATTTAATTCAACTTTTTACTTACCTCGGCTTAACTCTTTTCTTTTTATAATGAACATGAGATCATCTCTTTCTCAGGTTGGGTTCAGACAGATTTCATTTTTTTTTTCTTTTTTTTTATATATTATTATTTTATTTGTTTTATATTAAATGTTTATTTATTGTTATTATTGTTGTTGATCTATTATTATTTTCATTAATTATCTTATATTGTTTGTTTGTTAATATTTTTATTTATATATTTTTTTATATTTCTTGTTATTAGAAATTTTTATTTATCACTGACCAGATCAAAATCTATTACTGCTATATTTCAAACTTTAAATTAACTTTATATCCATTTTATTTATCAAACTAAACTTTTTATTCCCCCTGTATGTCAAATTTCATTTAAGCAACATTTTCAAACATAATTCAACATTTATTATTATTGCTATATACAATCCAACCTTATATTTAAAATATAAAGACAACAATCTATATTTATTATATCATTGGCATCCAAACTTACCATTCATACCAACCTATTACTATAAACCAATCGATTCTATTTTTCTAGAATTGATTACTCTTTTCTAGCATCGATTGTCTTATTATATGAGTTTTATGCTTTATTGGTTAGAATCGATTTTCTTTCTGAAAATCGAAATTCTGTCCCTTTGACAAATGACATATTTTTAATAAATATTTATTAAATTATTATAATTATGAAAACAGATAAATATTCTTTACATAAAATTCATATGATATTAGAATTAAAGTAAGTAAATAACAATATTTAAATATGTACATTAATTACGAATTATCTATTCGCTCCGTGTGCGACAGCAGCGCCAATTTGTTTTGGTATTAAAGGAGTATTTCTGCCTATACTGACAAATACAATTTTTAATAGAATTCGTAAATAAAAAGTATATATGTTAGTTTTAATAAAAGTATATGGATTTATAAAACAATTAAAACATTAATTTATTATTATTATATATTTTTCACGCTTAAATTGAAGAAAATTATGTATAATCATTAAAAATCAATAATAAAATATAGGCAGGCAACAGTATTTACTGGAAAATGTATGAGAAGTTGCCTAAGTCTAATAAGTTGTCATTGAAGAAACCATTTATAATAGCGTGAAGTTAAAATGTATAAAAAGGATCGCTACTTATATTTTCATTTTTGTTCTAAAGAAAACAAAATCAATGATTAAAACTGGTTTCCGATCAGTAAGTCACAAAATTGCATACCAGCCAAATATTATAATCAACGGCAGAAATCTTGAAATCTAGTCCTTGCTGAATGAACATTTAAGAATAAAGGGATATTAAAGAACATCGTAAAATGATAATTTATTGTTTATTTAAAAACTTTCTAGTTTCTGATGTCTACTATTTCCAGCATTACTGTTATTATCACAAAAATAAAGGTAATTTTTCTTCTTATTGTACACCTATCCATTTATTTCTTTGATTTAATTTCCACTTTGTTAGTGAAATTTGTTATATAAGTTTCACTGTTTTTTTGCTAGTATTTGTACAATTTTCAACACAGCAACTCCGGTTGCGTATTGTGTTGTTTTTACCTACTTTTTTGAAAAAAAGTAAAATGTATACGTGTATTTGATATGCCAAAATTACAAAATATCCCCCTAAAATGCACGAATTATCCGCAGCTAGCGCTAGTATCGCTTTTGCTTCCCTTTCCATGACTTCGCACGGAGCGAATACCATTGGTATGTTTAGAAAATATACTAAGTCACTTTTTTTTTAGTTTAATACAAAAGAATTACTCACTCAACACGGAATGTTTATACAGTTTCAATGCCTTGTTATATACCTTATACAAAGCAAATTTCTTTAGACTGCGAAGTTCCATGTCCATCCTCCACGTCGAACGGTAGGTATCGTCTTTGTTTCACAAAAAAAATCGTGAAAACACTCATTTACAAATGTACTACTTTAAAATATTTACTTAGTTGAAATTTGACTATACTTTTTCTTTAATTAATCCTAATTTTACTTTTTAGATTAATTTCAAGAAAATTTCGGCATCTTCCTTCTCTGGAAGCCCTGAATCAACAACCTTGTTATTTTACCATGGCATCCCTTTTCCTTAACAACTAATCAATGGACCAATGTTAATCCATATTAATGATTGATATTATAAAATATATTAGTATTTGGATATTTCTTACAATTTATGCTAGGACAAGATGTGTTTGTTATTTTATAAATTTTAACCTTTTATTTACAAAATTTCTTGATATATATACAATTCTAATTCAAGTAAGTATAAAATTTTATTTGTTTATATTAATGCCAATCAGAATAATGTTCCCATTTGTCATAAATTTGACAGTTCACATTTAGAAATATTTCATATACAGGGTGTATAAAATTTTACAATTATAATTAATTAATTCCAAAGGAAAATTTTTACTTTTTTTTTGGTATTATTTTTGAGCTGTCTTTTTATAACATGACAGTACATACATTTTGAAGTTCACAAAGAAACTACTTACGTTTAAAAAGTGGTTGTAACTCTGTGAAAATTTTGTCATGATCTGAATGCTGTTTACATTAAGTCAAATGTATTTTTCACCACAATATTATACGACTTTCAGATAGAGTAGAAGACATTTTTTAATGATTTTCCACCCCAAAAATAAGGTTTGGGATGTGTTATATTGTAAAATGTAAGAAAGATATATCTGATTACACATTTTTTATTATGAATATATTTCCGAAACGGTTGATTACGTCGAATTAAATCAAGATAACTTGAGGAGTGACTTATTAAAACCCATTATGTCACCCTAAACCGATTTTATGTGAGCGTTAAAATGTGATGTAGCTATCTGAATTATAAATGTAAAAACGATAACTGTAATTAATTACGTTGTTGATTTAATTTAAAATAAAATTTATTTAAATGTTTTGGAATTTGTTAGTAAAAATTATTACCCCTAATTTTGTAGTGTAATGGTTTAACTTTTAATAAATACTTTTGATTTCTCATTCCTGTTCTCTCTAGTTCACAGGGCCTGTAGCCCTATGCAACTCCGTCAACTTCTAAAAACTAAGTGATTTAGAAGTTGACCCACAACTTATTTACTGGCTCTTCAAGTCTGACTCAATAAAACGTTTATTTAGGTATACAAAATTTTACTGTTAGCTCCACTAAAACACCCTATTTTATTGAATAACTTGATTTATTTTAGCTCAATACAATACTAATTTACAATATGCATATGCTGTATGCTATAAATATGGTACTTCAAATCAATTGGAAGGTGAATTAAAATAAATAATGTTTAAATTATTCCATATATGAACACAAGCACTTTCAACAAATAAATTTCTATTTCTAATAAATATTATTTATTTCTTAAAGAAAACAAAATACAATTAATATATATATATATATATATATATATATATATATATATATATATATATATATATATATATATATAGCTACGTGGCATTACTGGGACTCCATTCCATAAATGGCCTACCAAAACTCCACCGTATATACGCCATTATATACACCGTTATTTGTAAAGACTAATTCAACTACCATTAGTTGGATAGGTCAACGTAACGTCCACTATATACATTTGACATGTTTTGACACTGTTTATGTTAATGCGCCTCCTCTTACTTGAGAGAATGTATTTACTGAGGCTCCAAGCACTGTTGCCACTTTTTAATAATTTATTTAGCAAAAGGAAGAAAAACTGAATTACTCAGACCATATGTTTTTATTTAAAATAATAATAACCCGTTGAAGATAAACCTTCTTAGCGAGTAGTATGCGAATTCGTCGTTTTTGCCGGCAAACCAATTGCAATAGTTCTATTCTTTTTAAGTCTTCTCAAGTTTTGTGTGTATATATTATAATGACTTTTTT